GCAGCATAATATTGATGAATTCTAGAAGTCAATAAGTTTAACTACTAGTGACGAGGTTATATTGTGAAGCTGAAGTGAGCAAGGTTGAACATTTTCTGTTACAGTCCACTCGAACGCATTAAAGTAATCGTACTGAGCCCAGTTATACGGCGTAATAAAATATCCCCTAACGGTGCAACGCTACCACAATCGTTCAGCAAACGATCGCATACCGCATCAAGTGGTCTGGAAAACGATAACCTGGCAATTTATGTATTTGCTATTTGAATAGATTGTGTCCTCGTTGTCCTTATTTTGAATATTTGTCTGTATCTAGTACGGGCGCAATATCCTCATATCTCTCTCATACTTCCTCTCTCTTGTACTCATCCTCTCTCTCTAAATTTCTCTATTCTTTATCGGCCAGGTAATTCTACTGCTGTATTTTGTTTTAAGTCAAGGAAAAGGCAAGTGTGCCTTTTCTTACAGCCATAGCTGTAATAATTGTCGATACGCTTTATCGATTAAAAAAAAGATATTATAATTTAGATAATAAGGATTTTATTTATTAGTTTTATAATTACGTATCGTTTAACTAAGAAACTTAACGTTTATATAATTTTAAAAAACAGTTTTGTATCAGTATAACCAATAAATTTTTGTGGGTTCGCTCTTTTCATTAAGAAAGAAATTCTTGTATCATTATAGAGAGTTAAAGCAACACATCGCAATTGTGGTGAATACTGAGGTCGTGAGAGCTTCCCACTTTCACACTTTTTTCTTAGGTTGACACTTAATAAAATCTGTTTTTTTCTTTAAAACAGAGGTTATGCTTGCAGCTTTTTTTTCTGATAATGTAGGTATTGCTGCATTTTTCTTTTTCTTGTTGTAAGCGCAATAGTGGGAATCGAATTATAATATACAGATGTTTCCTTTGACTAATCCTGAAAAATAAATAGGCTAAATTATGCTGTTATCATCTTTCGATGCAGCTCACTCAATCTTCTCAATAATAAAATAGTAAATATTACTAAGCTACATAAAAGAGCAATGGAGTAGCGAACATGAAATTCAAGTCCGTATAGAACAAGCCCGTAGTGCCTATATGAAGCTAAAAAAGTTTTTGTGTTGGAAACGCTTTAACCTAAAACACCGCATAAGACTGGTGCGCTGCGGGGAGATCTTGTAAGAAGCAGAGAGAAACTCAAACCTTATAAAATATATACATAAGTAAAAAAATCTAAGGAAGCACGTTATGTATACGCATATTTATCTTATAAATACATAGTCATCTAATTTATAATAGCCTTTCTAAAAATGCTCTTTACAAAGGCAAATCAGTAACATTACAAGGAATTTCGTTGTAAAGAGTTATACATCGACCCAAAAATTAGCCGCTAGTTTTATGAAGTCTGTACGGCGCTATTCCTATTATATGTATCATGTGGATTATTTAGATAATCGCTAAACTGCGTTTCTCTTTTAGACATTCTGTGTTATAGATTAATTATAAACCAAACTGAGATCAATAATAGGCATCATAGCACACCAGGTGATTTATATACAGCAAGAAAACTGCCTCGATGTTAAGTACTGTCGCATCTTTGCAATAATTTTTACTCAGTAAACCACCCAAAACTCAAGCTCGAAGAAATTTTAACACCTAACAACTGAAGGCGTTCGGTGTGTATCAAAGATGGAAGAATGGAAAGATAATATAATATACATAAATTTATTAATAATAACAATATTTCTTATTAATTCGACGCCATCACAAAATATTAAGCTTCTCGTCTACCTATAGTTAGATGGAGCCCATCAAATTGGCTTCAAACTATTTATTTATTTACGCGAATTTCCTTTATTTACGCGAAAATCTAATCTAATCGACTAAAACTAATTTTACGAATATTATTTTTAAAATTAAACGTGATAATATTTAAAAGTATTCAATGGATTTATATTATAGCAATATTTACGTAAATGTGGTAGGAAGTTTGGCAATAAGCTACAAAGAACAGACAACCGATGGGTAAGAAAGGTTATCGAGTGGCAGCCTTGTACCGGTAGCTGAAATATAGGCTGGCCCCCCATTGGATAGAGTGACGACCTGGTAAGACATGCCATGCTTTGTGGCATTTCTTAGGGGAGGCCTGTGTTCAGAAGTGGACTTGTGCAGGGATGTAATGATCATTTTATTTAAAAGTATAATAGGTTATATTGTATCTTAATTTGAATTTAATTATTTACTCCTTATAATCACCATAGACTGAAAATGTGTAGATAACAATTTATTAAGTATTTAGCTAAATTTTGATAGATATAGCAAGACAATTTATTATATTTCCACCGACTGTCTAAAAAGTAGGGTAATGTTCAAGAACGTATCCCTATGTGTTAGCTCTGTTTTAAATACAGTCTAAACGATTTGGTAGATTTTAAAGTTGCGGGGGATACATAGGATATACAATTTGTCTGTTTTAGTAAAGTATTCAAGCAGTAGAATTTCTTACCATTATGCTTGTTTACTTTTCTTAATCACTTCTTATTTTAACAAACTTTTATTTCGCCTTACAAACATGTTACAAAATTTACTGCCTATTTTTAAATATAATAAACTAGTAATGAACTCCCCAAGTGGTTTCACGAGTTTTCCCAGGCTGTGCAAAGTAAAAAGTAACTGGAGAGATGCTTTCCGCTTTATTCGTTTACAATTTTAATATATCGTATATATGTTTCAATACTGATAATTGATTACTATATTATTATTATTATTAAGTGGCGAAGCTTGCGAAGTCACTTATTGATTTCACGATGTCTGTCCGTCTGTCCGTCTGTCCCACGATTATCTCGAGAACGGTTTTGAATTTTTAAATTCTGTTTTTAGCAATCGATTACTGATCACCCAGGCATCTGAAACTCCTATTTTGAAACTGATTGCTCAACGGCAACCGTTAGAAACCGCTACAAAGCTGATTGCTTCGCCACTTTGCTATGCTGTTAGCTTGCTAGGTTTATTATTATTAATCAGACTTTCAGGCAGACATTTAGACAATAGGGGTCGGATCTCTCGCGTCCATGGACTTCTAACTCCTAACAATAGGGTGCCTAGCAATAAGTCTAATCATTGTTATACAAAGTCTCGGATTGCGGATGCCTAAACCTAGTCCAGTTTAACCCTCAAATGACACAACTTTGCGTGTTTGCTGCTAAAAAGAACTCCCATGTCATATCTCTTCAATGTCAGGGCACCCTCCTTGCTGCCTCAGCTAACATCGGAATCCTCGGCGTCGACATATCGAATTATGTTCAGTATCGTGTTCACTAAATTGGCCAATTTAGCCTTTCCTTCCAAATATGCGGACTAGTATTTCATGCCAGCACACCACTTGCAACTTTATAAAGCGCAACTTCGGCCTCACATGGAATACGGTTCTCATCTCTGGGACGAGGCATTCACGTGCAAGCTCCTTCCACATGACCACATTCAGCGCAGAACAGTTCGAATCGTCGACGCCTGAGTTCTTTCTGATTGACTCGATTCACTGGCGCTGCGAAGGGATGTTGCATCCCTTTGCATTTTCTAACGTTTCTTCCCTATACCATCCACATCATCTGGATGTTTGGCGGTCCACCACTGTACGTTTTACTAGGAGTTTTCTTCCGCGTACGACCTCTCTGTGGAATAATATACCACCGTCGATTTTTCCAGACCGTTACGCCTTAGGGACTTCAGGAAAAGAGATTCCCTTGTTGTTCATGGGCGGCAGTATTCACTTACAATCAGGTAATCCGTATGCTCGTTTGGCCTCTCTCCTATGAAAAAAAAAAAAGAAACATATTGATTCAATTTGAATTATTAATTTTACTAATATAAAATTCAATTTTTTAATTATGAACGAGATTATTTACATAGCAGATTTTTAAATTGGTATATTTGTACAAGTTTTTAGATATCTCACAAAATACCTGTGTCAAACAGCATAATAAAGCTGCGTTGCTTCGTATGATGAGCATAGATTCCCATTTTGCTGATTACAAAATTGAAGTATAATTATGTATGTATAATAATGACATAATATATCAGAGGATAACGAAGCGTTTCATCGCTGTCCTCAAGAATGAAAACGCACCTGTATTTTGATTCGGGGGAATTTTTATGATCGAGGGAAGATATAGTTTTCAATAAATCACAGCACCCACTTAACATGAGGTGAACTGCGTGCTCATATATAATCTTTATTCTATTATATTAAAAGATATAATAAAATCAATTTGATATATTGAAACAACTACATGTACATAACTTTATATTAAAATTTAGAATAAATATTTTATCCAAAAATTTGTACTACGGCAGAGTTATAGTAATTCAAACTATAAACCAAAAGTTGGTTGTGTCTCCAGTGTACTAGAGTGCTAACTCCCGTCACAAATTTTGAAATTTAACTTTTAAGCGTTGTTTTTTGTTAAAAATACATCGAGAATGTTAATTTAACCGCAGTTCTCTAACAAGTTTAAAATTTTTACTTCAAAGTACGTAAATTTTGTAGAAAATAGTATTATTTCTTATAGTAAAATTGCTCATAAGTAAGAAAATACAATTTTTATTATGGTCTTGTAATTTAACCAGGCAAAATAGAGAAAACAATCGAAAGCCAGAAGACAACTAAATCAGCAGTTTCAGATAAAAATAGTACAAGCTGATACAGGCTACAACAGTTTTTTAATTTCCCGCTTTGAAAATTAATAATTTTTAAAAGTAAGAAGTTATAATTTTTTTAATTTCCCGCTTTGAAAATTAATAATTTTTAAAAGTAAGAAGTTATAATAATAATAATAATAACCCCCCCATGGGATCACCTTGTCGTGGTGGCGGGGCTTAAGGGAAAGGCAGGTACTTAACTGCAGTCAGAACAACTATACTGTGTAGCAATAATAAGCCAGGATTATCTATCTGCCTATTCATATTTAAAGACCCTTTTCCAAACTAACGATCCCAAACCAGGCTGAACAAAAATATGAGTGCACGACGTAAACTACGGCCCCCAGTTCCCGGCAGATCCAGTAACCATATCGACTCTGACGGAAGCCGAGATGGTGCTATGTCTTGGGGCGCATACAATATCCGGGCGAGGAAGATTTCCCGTCAAACGACTCAAGCTATATCTACGGACACCGATACCCTTAGTGATACTGATAGTTTATATACCCCCGAAAATGATGGGCAGAAATCAAAGCCATACACTTTACACCAGTCTTTACCTTCCTCATCATCATCAAGTAGCCAATTGCTGAAGGATGATGCACAGAATATAACTTCAGTTATGGAACCTGTGCCCACCATCAGTAAACGTAATACGCGAAAGAAATGGACTTCTGAAATGAATGAATTCATATTGCGTACTTACCTATATTTAACAATGATGGAGACTGACACTAAAGGTTATTTACAACCATTACACATGAAATTCATAGAACGATTCCCAGATATGCAGGTAACTCGTCAAAGATTAGGAGATCAGCATAGAGCAATAATAAATAATAAACTTTTGTCCCAAGAAATAGTTAACAAAATTTAAATTGAAGTGCAATCAAACTTATAGACTACATTTCCCCAATCCATCTCTGTTACACAGAACAATCGTCATACTAATACCCACCCTTTACAAACACAACAACGTATGAAATGGACAGACGAATACAATGAAGCTATAAAAAGAAGCCGTGTAGTGGCGGTTAAGAATATCCACTACCCCATATCTTCCCGTGGGTGTCGTTAAAGGCGACAAAGGGAAACAGGCAGGAGATGGGCAGCAGCATCTTCCTGGTAACGGCAAAATTACAATAAAAAACTGCGGTTGCCAATCCGCTCGCCAAGCGTGGCAACTATGGCAATATACCCCCCATAATGAAAGTTACGAAGAGACGGCCCCCAGTCCCCGGCGGCCCCGCTTTTCCTGGCTACGATGGCGACCATGGTAACGGCGGGGCAGGGGGTGCTAAGAATCTCCGGTGGAGGTTCGGTTGCCACCTACAACGACTCGACCTGGCAACATACAACGCACGCACCCTGAGGACTGACGAGAAGATTGTGGAGCTGGAAGAAGAGATAGACAAGTTACGCTGGCATATTATAGGATTATCCGAAGTCCGAAGAGAGGGGGAGGACACGGTAATCCTCGAATCCGGCAACTTGCTCTATTACCGGGAGGGCGACCATCTGTCCCAAGGAGGTGTCGGATTTATCGTCCACAAGTCTCTCGTTAACAACGTTGTAAAGATTGAGTGTGTCGACGAGGGTTGCGTACCTTATACTCAGAATCACCAAACGGTATTCGCTGAAGGTCATACAGGTTTACGCACCAACCTCGGCACACCCCGATCAGGAGGTGGAGGAAATGTATGAGGATATCTCTAGAGCCATGCATTCCTCCAAAACCCAATATACGGTGTTAATGGGACAAGAGAGAACGGTGAGCTGAAAGTGGGGAAATTTGGAATAGGGCAACGGAAACCAAGGGGCCAGCAGTTGGCCGACTTCATGGAGAAAGAGGGACTCTTTATGATGAACTCTTTCTTCCAGAAGCGGCCCCACAGGAAGTGGACCTGGTCGAGCCCCGACGGTTCGACAAAAAATGAGATTGACTTCATTATGACGACCAGACGACAACTGTTCAGTGATGTCTCAGTGATCGCGAGGGTGAAAACCGGCAGCGATCACCGAATGGTTAGAGACACACTGAACCTAAACGTTAAGTTGGAGAGGTCTCGTCTAATGAAGTCAACGCTCCGTCCCCCTCTTGCTCTAATCCAAAGTCCCGAAACCTTTCAGCTCGAGTTGCAAAACCGTTTTCAGTGCCTAGAAGACTGCAATGAAGTGGACAATTTGAATGACAAGCTCGTGGAAACTGTCCATGCGGTTGGAGCTAAGTTCTGCAAGACCTGCCGCAGAAGAACACAAAAACTCTCCGATCACACTCTTAATCTTATGGCTGTTAGACGGGAGATGAAGCTACATTCTTCAACAGATTTGACAGCACACAGGCATCTGAACAGACAGATCTCCAAATGCATGCGGCGGGACTTACGCAACTTCAATACAGCTCGTATTGAAGAAGCGATCGAGCGGAACCAAGGCTCCAAAGTCTTTGCCAGAGATCTGTCTACCAGAAATAGCCAACTGTCAAAGCTGAAGACCGAATGTGGCAGCATCGTTTCCGGGGCACCTGAGATTTTAAGTGAGATTAAGAGGTTCTATGGGCAGCTGTACACATCATCGTTGGAGCCACACGCAAGTGTGAGTAACGATCCAAGAGCGAGTCTTATCCGACATTATTCCGATGATATCCCGGACGTCAGTCTGAGCGAGAATAGAATGGCTCTCCAGCAGCTTAAAAACGGCAAGGCCCCAGGCCAGGATGGAATTACAGCGGAGCTTCTGAAAGCGGGTGGAAAACCGGTACTTGATGTCCTTCAAAAGCTCTTTAATTCCGTCCTCCATGGTGGCATTACACCGGAGGCGTGGAGCAGAAGTGCGGTGGTGTTGTTCTTCAACAAAGGCGACAACGCTCTCTTGAAGAACTATAGACCGATTTCCCTTCTGAGCCGCGTCTACGTGCTGTTTTCGAGAGTCATTACGAATCGTCTCGCGCGCAGACTTGACGACTTCCAGCCTCCCGAACAAGCCGGTTTCCGAAAAGGCTTTAGCACCATAGACCACATACATACCCTTCGGCAAATTGTACAGAAGTCCGAGGAGTACAATTTGCCACTATGTCTGGCGTATGTGGACTCTGAGAAAGCCTTTGATTCCGTTGAAATTTGGGCGGTGCTGCAATCCCTTCAGCGATGCCAAGTTGACTGTCGGTATATCGAAGTGTTGAAGTGCTTGTACAGTAGGGCTACGATGGCTATCCGAGTACAGAACCAGAGTACGAAACCTATCCAATTGCAGAGAGGTGTAAAACAGGGTGACGTCATATCTTCGAAACTCTTTACCGCTGCATTGGAAGATGTTTTCAAGCTTCTGGACTGGAAAGGATACGGTATCAACATCAATGGCGAGTACATCACTCACCTTCGATTTGCCGACGATATAGTCCTTATGGCAGAATCGCTGGAGGACCTAAGCACTATGCTCAATGACCTCAATAGTGTTTCCCAACGGATAGGTCTTAAGATGAACATGGACAAAACAAAGATCATGTTTAATGTCCATGTCACACCTATGCCGGTAGTTGTTGGGAACACTAAGCTCGAAGTTGTTGACGAGTATGTTTACCTGGGACAAATAGTCCGACTAGGTAAGTCCAACTTCGACCGAGAGGTCAATCGACGGATTCAACTCGGTTGGGCAGCGTTCGGGAAATTACGGCACTTCTTCTCGTCAGGTTTACCTCAAAACTTGAAAACGAGACTGTACACCCAGTGCGTGTTGCCAATGATGACATACGGAACTGAGACGTGGTCCTTCACTGCTGGCCCAATGAGGAAGCTCAAGGTCGCTCAGCGAGCTATGGAGAGGGCTATGCTCGGAGTTTCTCTGCGTGATAAACTCAGAAATGAGACTATCCGCAGTAGAACCAGAGTGACCGACATAACTCGAAGAACCGACAACCGATGGGGAAGAAAGGTTCTCGAGTGGCAGCCTCCTACCGGCAGGCGAAGTGTAGTACGTCCCCCCACTAGATGGAGTGACGACCTGGTAAGGAAGTCGATGGATGCAGGTGGCTCAGGACCGTGCTTTGTGGCATTCTTTGGGGGAGGCCTATGTTCAGCAGTGGACTTGTGAAGAGCTGTAATGATGATGAATGATGATAATAAGAATTTACTATAAAATAACACGGTGTGAGAAAAATAAAATAGCATATAGGAAACTCTTACACCAAGAGTTTATAAAACAATTCCCCTATTTAACTCATTTGACAGAGCAACGGATCGCTGACCAAAGACGATTAATTTTACAGAACAAATATTTAAGTGTTGACCACTTAGAATTAATTAAGAATGACTTACAAAAACAACATAACGTTATACAAGCCAATGACAACTCAATGCTTCAGATAAGTATCTCAAACAACGAAGAAACAGATACAGAAGTACATTTAAATGCAGAAAACCACACAGAAAATGTAAATGAAAATTTAAATTACAGAGAAAAGATAATTGCTATAGATGAAATGTTTGCAAAAGCTTTAGAATTTTATGCTTATACAAAACCAACTGAAAGGCAATTTATACCAAAGCAGAGATTTAAAAAAAATTAAGTAAGATAGTCGCCTATGTGAATAATATTTTGTTGCCAGAATACATTAACAGCGATATTGAATTTAAAACATTTTAGGATTTAGTATACTGTGCAGAGTGGACTTCAGCTAAGCTCAACGGAGCTAAAATTGAAATACCTGTACATCTTGATAACCCTCTAGGAAAGGGCAAACAAAAGAAATATAATAAACCAAAGTGGGAACAAAGATTAGAATACAAAGTTAGTGAATTAAGAGCAAAGATTGCAAGACTAACACAATATATCAATGGAAACAGAGGTAATGAATGAATGAATGAATGAATATACTTTTATTGTACACCACGAACAAATATACAAATGTCATAACAAAAATCTGATTATAATATGTACAATTTGGCGGCCTTATCGCTACATAGCGATCTCTTCCAGGCAACCAAAGGTGTAAAGTAATACAAACAATGAATAGGTAGGTGGTAGGTGGTGCAATATAAATATACAAATAATAAATGCAAAAAAAAAGATATAAATAACTAAGTAATACATGAAATAATATAAATTACTAACACATAATAAAATATAAGGTAACACATATAATATATACATATACATACACATATACACATATATATATAAACATATATACATAAATATACACACAACACATATATATCAATACACACACACACACACACACATATATATATATATATATATATATATATATATATATATATATATATATATATATGCAAAATTCCTCAAACAATAATATAAAGCTGATAGATACAATAAATACATAATCACACAATCTATCCTAACGGTGTCCGAACGATTGAGACAAGTAATGCTCTTTAAGTAATCGCTTAAAGATAACAATAGTTTGTGCCTCACGTATATGCAAAGGTAGGGCATTCCAGAGCTTAATAGACTGGACAGTAAAAGATTTATTGAAAAATGATGTATTGTGAGTTGGCACACTTAAAATGAATTTTCTCGAAGAGCGTAAGGGTTCCCCCGGAAGCCCCACAAAATTACACTTCTCCTTTAGATAGGGAGGAGTAGAAGGGTGAAATAATACACAGTACAGAATAGAAAGTATATGCATGTTCCGGCGAAGTCGGATAGGTAACCACTTGAGACGTGAGCAAAATTGGGAAATATGGTCAAATTTGCGCAATCCAAATATGAACCGAATACTAGTATTTTGAAGTCTCTCAAGCTTATTTAGCTGGTCCTCAGTTATGTCTACATAGCTTGCGTCAGCATAGTCGAGAATCGGAAGAAGAAGAGATTGTGCGAGCATAATTTTTGTAGGAATGGGAAGAAAAGATCGAAGGCGATGCAGTGAACAAAGAGCGACAAAAGTTTTCTTACTTACCTCATTCAGTTGGCGTATCCAATTTAAGGAATTATCAATATAAATACCAAGATTTTTGACATTGTCAAAGTAAGGGATAACAACTCCATCGAATACGATAGGTGATACAGAGAACCAGTCAATTCTTGAGATAAAGCTCTGGCTACCAATAATGATAGCCTGAGACTTTTTAGGATTGACATTTAGGCCATATGATTTACTCCACTCGTGTATAAAATTTAGATCCCTATTTAATGTAGCGATTGCATTCGGCAAATTCTCAAGAGTTGACTGGGTGTAAATCTGGACATCTTCCGCATACATGTGGTAGAGAGAAGATATTTTATGAGTGATTGAATTAATGAAAATGGAAAAGAGTAAAGGTGACAACACGCCGCCCTGCGGCACGCCTGCAGTTATATCACACCAAGATGAGTGAGTTTCATCGACACGAATACACTGCCGACGGCCACAGAGATAACTTTGAAACCAGTCAATTACTGATGGAGATATGTTAAGGGAACATAACAGACTCAACAGTATATCGAAGTCAACAGTATTGAACGCATTACTGAAATCCAGTAAGGTCATGACTGTGAGTTGTTTATTATCCATACCCCACCGTATGTCATCAGTAACTTTGATTAAGGCAGTAGCCGTACTATGACCTGGACGGAAACCGGATTGTAAGGAATTCAATAAATTGTGCTTATTAAGGAAAAGGGTCAGCTGTTGGCAAATAAGTTTTTCAAGGACTTTAGAAAGGAAAGGTAAGATCGAGATGGGACGGAAATCAGAGAGGTAAACGGGATTAGATTTCTTTGGAAGGGGAATAATATGAGCACTCTTCCAGGCTTGAGGGAATTTAGAGGAAGAGACACAAGCATTGAGTAAATAAGTGATAATGGGAGTAATAACATCAAGGAGAGGAACAATCATATTACGGCTAATGTTGTCGCTACCGGCAGCATTTGAGGAGATGGATAATATGGTCTTCTTAACATCACATTCAGTAAACTGACTAAAAACGAACGGAGGATAATTAGGAGTCGGAGTTACAGAAAGCGAACGAAGTGTTTGCAGTTTATGTTCGCTATCAAAAGAGTTAGAAGGATTAGAAAAATGTTGATTTAATAGTTCAAAATCAACACTAGGAGGTGAAGCATTTAGGGATGTTCTACCAAATCCAACTGTTTTGAGAAACTTCCACACCCTAGATGAGTCGCCGTTCTCGACTGATGTATGAATATGGCGTCGTTGCGCATCTCTACACAATGTGTTGCATCGATTCCTGATTTTGGCGTATTTCCTTACGTTTTCCTCTGTCTTATTCCTCTTAAGCTTTGACAATGCCGCATTCTGTCGTGAAGCGACAATAAAGAACAAAAATAATCTAACCTAAGAACAACAAAACAACAAAAATAGAGCCAGAAAACAAGATATTTAAATTTTTAAAAGGTATTTACAATTTTATAAAAAAATGAAATGAGGATGATGATGAATGAAGTGAGAGTACAATTAGATTACAAAAAAATAAAGGTAGGAGAATAGGGGAATATAGAGTTGTAGTGGAGCCTAAAAGTCGAAGCGACACACGTTGCGATTGTAGAGGTAGGTTTCTTAGCAGCGACGGCACGCAGCGCCTGAAGCCAGCACACGCCGGTTGCGCTTGTAGAGGTAGGTCTCTTAGCAGCGACGGCACGCAGCGCCTGGAGCCAGCACACGCAGCGTCCGGAGCCGGCGCACGTAGCGCCTGGAGTAGGTGCGCTCAACGCTTAGAGTCAGCAGTTGCAGCGCCCAAAGGTAGCGCCGGCGGTAGGTGCACTCGGCGCCTGGAGTAAGCAGTCGTAGCGCCCGGAGTAGTGTGGCCCCCGCGCTTGAAGTAGACTGCCGGCGACTTCCGAGGTAGATGGAGGCTTGTAGGATTCCGGAGTGGTGCGGCTCCGCGCTTGAAGAAGGCTTCGCCGAAGACTTCACGTGTAGGTGGAGGCTTGCAGGATCCCGGGGCAATGCGGCCCCGGGATAAGGCCTTTAGAAAATATTTCTTCTTTGAGAACTCAAGCGAGACTGCCTTTCTTCACCGATTGTTCGGCTTTTATACCTTTCCAGAGAGAACGGAAAAATTATTTAAATTAAACGCAAATTTTTTGTAAATGGTCAAGAGAAAAGAGTATTTATGTGGAATTATCGAAATAGGAACAACAGATCGGTAGCAAATTTGAATATAATTACTATGGAGACCAAATAAACAACAATGTCAAAACATGTCAAATTTTAGTTTTAGGCTTGTAATAAGAAAACGGCAAGATTTAAGTGGAAAATGAGATATTATTGATATAGGAAAAAAGGTAGCGCAACTGCCCACACAAAGCCCGAAATTGTAGAGTTACGGAAAACTAACTAAAAGATCGAAAAAAAGGTAGACTCCATTGACACCAATTTAAAAGTGCTGATAATGTGAAAATACGAAGTAGAAATGATTTGTTATTGTGTTCTTATGGTTTAAAATCGTTACAGGATCCTATGGAAATAAAGGTGATGTAAAATATCCAGTTTTGAAGTGAATGCAAAAAATCGAAACAGAATGGAAAAATGAATTTAAAATAATGTAAAATGATAAGTAAGTAGCATAACACTACAATTCTTCTGCAAAATAAGCTTCTTCAGATCATCAGAGAGCCATGGAGCAGGTAGGTGTTTAAGTCTCACATAATGCATTGGCGCGTGAACGTCATAAAGCTGAGTGAGAAGAGAACAGAACAGTTCCACTTTATCGTCAATGCATGGAGCTCTCTCGATCACTGACCAGTCAATATTATAACCATCTTCACAAAGTTGTTCCATATCCATTCCTCCAAAATTACGTCGCAGAACTAATTTAGGTTTGATTTTAGGAGGGCGTAGTTTATACGAAAGAAAAATTAAATCGTGATAAGAGAATGCATCAGCAGGACACTGTCCGTGCTTGAAAACTAAATTGGAAGATGACACCATTATTAAGTCAAGAAGGGAAGGAGTACTGTTAGGAAAGTTATGAGTAGCAGAAAGGGGTAGGATTTGCATATTACACGCTTCAATTATAGCTTCAAGTTTTATAGATCGATTGTCGCCTTTAAGCAAACAGGTGTTAAAGTCACCCATCAAAATAGTGTGACTATACGTAGGGACTAGTGATTCTAAAAGAGATTCGAAAGAAGTAAAATAATTTATAGAAAGGGAGGGACTGTAGAAAACTCCAAGTAGGATTTTATTCTGAGACAGGGAGACCTCAACCAGCAAATGCTCAGCAGAATCAACAGGAGGTGGTTGACTTGACGAACTAACAATTTTAAATGGAAGTTAGGATCTTAGATAGATCGCCACGCCCCCACCACCCCTATTAGTGCGGTCATTTCTAATTAGATGAAACCCAGGCAAAGAATAAGAAGTGGAAGGCAGACAGGGTTTTAGCCAAGATTCTGAAACTAAAATGGCGTGAATATTTTGGGATTCAAATGACGCAAGCATGTCAGGATAATGAGCCGGAATGCTTTGGGCGTTAATATGAATAGCATTAAAGTTATTCACACAGTCTGAGAAAAAAGAATTTAAGGTGATGTTGAGTGAAGGAGAAGCAGTTGTACTATGATAACTATCATCACTAAGTGTCTCATCGTCCGAAGACAACGATAGAAACAAATCACTATCGTTACAAATGTTTGAGGAGGTCATAAATATTAAATTAAAATATAAAATAAATTCTTATATACACTAAAAAAAAGGAATATATATATATATATATATATATATATATATATATATATATATATATATATATATATATATATATATAAATAAAGATCGAAAGGTATCTATACTATTACAACCACCAGCAGCATGAAAGAGAAAGCATATGACAAAACAACAACTTAAAGAAATAAAACAATCAGTTTAATATAAAAATTACCAAAAA